TTATTTCTAGTAAGATATAATTATATATTGAATTAATGGCTCTAAAGTAGATACTAGACAGGAAAAAAAATATACGTGAAACCGGCGGTTTAAAACCGGACCAAACCGTTAGGTTTAGGTTTGAGTTTTTTTCAAACCGGTCAAAACGGTTTGGTTTAGGTTTGAGTTTTTCTCAAGCCGGTTGAAACGGTTTGGTTTGAAAATTTGTCAAAAACCGGTAAAATCGGACCGCTTACACCCCTACTTTAAATAAATCCAAGTATTAAAATAGAAAAATAAAATTTTTATTAGTTTGGTTAGCTCGATAATAAAACTAAGGGAAAATTGTAGACACGGTACCAAACATTTCATTTAGTAACATACTTTATTCAAATTTTTCATTTGTGCCAAATGATTTATATATATATATATATATAGGCACATTTTTTATATATATAAATTAAAATAAAAAATGTGCCTCCCTCCCCCCCCGGCCAAAACTACTACTATTTCTTCTTCTTCTCTACCCCACTGAGCAAAACCAGTTGCCATCACCACCTCCAATTGGAACATAGACTGACAGGAAATGTACGAGGCCGAATCGAGGTTGCCGGGGTGGATGAGAGATTGGACACAGCTGTGGAGGTTGAGGCGAAAACCAACAAGGGCAGAGGTAGAACTAACAATTTCTTTCCATTTGGACATCTGTTGCGACATTTTCAAGTTGGCACCAGACTTTTATTTAAAGTCAAATTTTTTGTTACTCGCCAGTGTTAATTTTAAAAGGACGAAATTGGCATAGTGCCTGAACTAAAATATAAAAAAATAAAAATTTGAATGACCAATTTGGGACCACAAAAAAAAAAAAAAAAATGATATCCAACGTTAAACAATGGTATAAATTGGGTGCTAACAGTATTTTTAATCCAAAAGTAATGAAGCCACAACATTTATTTTGTAAGACCCAAAATATTTACTTACTTTTACCCGCTTAATATTTACGTGTTTTGTGGGAACCTCGTATTGTCATATAGAGTAAATTACAAAGATCTTTCTAAGGTTTATGAAATATCAAAGACACCTATTTTTTTTTTTTTCAAAAACTTCAGAAACCTTCTCTTTTAGCATTGATTTTTCATTTCCCCCTCTCTCTTTATGCTCTATGTATGATTATGTTTGTTTTCTTAAATTTTTAGGAAAATTGCTGTGGAGGTTCCAAACCTTTCATTTTGCTGTAGATTACTAGATTATACCACAACCTTTTATTTTTGCCACCACAGTCACAAACCTAAAAATTTAATTGCAATTGAGGTCCAAATCACTGATTCCGTCCATTAATGCCGCTAGTCGTCAACAGTGAAAGTGCAATTTTAACTCAAATAAACAAGTTAAATGAGGAGCAAAATGGTTTATTTACGATTTTCATATACAATTAAATGAAAAACGAAATAAAATGAAATAAAATCCATCTTCTTCCCAAACCCACCCCAACCAAAACTGACCAACACAGCCACCCCCATCGCTATTGCCGCCATCGCCACTACCACCTCTCCTTCCATCGCCCATCGCCACCATCGTCTCTTTCTATTTATTTATTGAATTTCCTCGTTTTATTTGCTTCAAAACCACTAACAAAATCCATAATTTCTAGCCCAAATTCAACTCATTTTCCAATAAATTTTAAGGGTTTGCAGAATCCACAAGAAATAGCATAAAGTTAGAATCTTTCCAAAGATGCAAGGTGATTCTTAATGGAAACAAACCAAATTTTAGTGAAAAATAGAAGTTGGGATTTTTCACCTTTGGTCATAATATTAGATGGTACTTGGGCATTTGGTATGCTTCCATCCCAACTCCCACATATGTTTGGGTTGCAAACCATGAAAACCCATCAAGAATTTGTCACCAACAACATCGGAATCAGTGAAAGGATTTCAAAAGAACCAGAATTCCTCAACCACAGAAAGGGCCACAGATATGTTGTTTTCAAGGTTTTAATGTGCCAGGGTTCATGTGCACCCATCAACTATTATAAACCATGTATAAAGATTGCGTCGAATCTGACTTTGAACTAAACAAAAATACTATTTTTCTATTCTCCGAGTCTTGATATCTCTTCTTATTTCACCAAACGCGATTGGACGGAAAATGGCATCAAAGCTTCTTTCTGCACTACCATTTTATGAAAATTGTAAATATACCATTTTATCCCTCATTTAATTTGTCCATTTGAGTCAAATTACAATTTCATTGTTGACTAACAGCATTATGGTCAGAATCAGTGATTTGGACCTCGACTGCAGTTAAATATAAATTTTTGGGACAACGGCCACAAAAATGAAAGGTTAAGATGTAATCTGAAGCAAAATGAAAGGTTGGGGGACCTCCGTTGCAATTTTTCCTAATTCTTTTCATTTCTTAAATTTTAATTTAGAGACTGTTTTAATTTTTAAAAGTTTATTTTTGATCTTTTTGTACTAAGTGATTCCGTTTTAATGATATTTTTGTGAATTTTGATTTCTCATATAAAATGAACAAATTAAAATTTATCTAAAATAATTACTATAAAACAAACTAAAAATAAATATAAGCTATAAGCTTTTGATGTCATTTTTTTTTGTAGATTCAATAATTTATTGTTATGATAGTATTAATTTAATTTATGTTATTAATAGAGTATAAAATATCAAGAGTGTAAAAAGATAAAAAAAATAGAAAAACACTATTAGAACTTGCAATAATAAATATTAAAATACGTTTTCAAATAGCTTCATTAAAAAAATTAAAATATTTATTTATGTTGACTTGTTAATAATTTGTCAATCACGTTTGTAAACATCCTCAATATTTGTTTATTTTTGTACTTATGTCAAGTTCTTTCGTCACATTTCTACCTTCAATTAGTTAAAATATATTATCTCTAACGACATTTTTTTTTTACAAATCTTCTTTTGAGGGAATAAATATTTTATCAAACTTTTATATCTGTTGTTTATTTTGGTTATTTTGACATACGAGGGGGACAAACAAGTATTTTTATGCCCTCCTAACATAGTTTTTGGGTCAATGTCATCATTAAAATAAGATTTACAAATTAATAAAATGTTGCTTTGAGTTAAAAATTTTAATTCGATTTTAATTTACACGGCTTAATAAAAGCTTTGTCAAACACACTGGTTGACAGACAATCCCAACAAACTTTCAGGCCATGGGGGCTACTTTTATTCTTTGTGCAACCATTTTACATGAACAGATTATTGATAGAATTTAAAATAAGGGGATACATGTCATTTTTTCATTTGACAATTAAAAAACAAAAAAGATAAAGCAGCCAGGTGCTGTCACATAGCACCTGTCACCAAATCATGTCAATTTTCCCTGTTTGAGTAGCTTTATTCTTGTATTTATATAGGATAATTCTAGTGGTACATCAATGCCTACATCAAGGTGTACATAATACACACTTGGAGCCTCACCATTGGATGAAGTGCCGACCCCACCGGCACTTCATCCAATGGAGAGGCGCCAAGTGTGCATTATGTATGCCTTGATGTAGGCTCTGATGTACCCCTAGCAGAACCCTAAAAAAAATATTGGTTGCAAAAACTGTTTTTTATTTAAACAGTCTAATGACGGANTATATACTGAGCAACAAAACAATGCAACCCCAGAACCCCAGAGTTCACCCAAACACTTCAAAGAAACCATGGGTACATTGCCTGCTGAGAACTCCACAATGGAGTTGCAGCAACTTGATCTTGATGCCGCTGCCCCTGGCCGGGCTGAGAGGGCTAAATGGTTGCTCAGCTCTCCCAATCCGCCAAACCTATGGCACGAACTCAGCAGCTCCATAAGAAAGACTGTTGTCCCTCAAGAAAGGAAAAAACAACCTCGGACTAAAGTCCATGTTTTATTCTTACAAGGCCTATTTCCAATCCTCAAGTGGGGAAGGAGTTACAACGGTACGAAGTTTAAGAAAGATTTAATGGCTGGGTTAACTCTTGCAAGTCTTTGTATACCTCAGGTTTGCATAATTTCCAGCTCTTCTCGTTGCAAAAAGTTAACAATTCCTTTAGTATACTAGATTCGACTCGACTATATCGGGATTAAAATAGAAATAGAAGCTAAAATTTGTCCACTATCCTATCCAGTCTTGTACAGTTCAGTTCAATTACAAAACCATTTTTATCTGAAATCTTGAAAGGGAATCATTGCAGAGTATTGGATATGCTAACCTGGCAAAACTTGATCCTCAATATGGCTTATGTAAGTAACAAATATTTTGTCCCGCAATGTTTTTAATTTTTTTATGATCTATATTTGTTTGATTAATTTTAGTATTCCAGACACCAGTGTTGTCCCTCCTTTGATATATGCTTTGATGGGGAGTTCAAAAGAGATTGCCATTGGTCCAGTGGCTGTAGTTTCATTGCTTCTGTCAGCAATGATACAAAAAGTTGTAAACCCTTCAGTTGATCCTGTTGCCTACAGAAGCCTTGTTTTCACCGCCACTTTCTTCACTGGTGCCTTCCAAGCTGTTTTCGGAGTTTTCAGGTTGTCTTACTCCAGAAGTTGGTGTTTGTCCTCCCCTTAAATTAAGACACGAATAACATAGATGGTTGGGACATATTTTGCATAAGACTTAAAAAGAGACCGTGTTCATAACATTGATCTAATCTATGTAAACTAATTAACATGATTAGTGGTGGTTGTTACGAATCTAGTTCCTTCGATCTTCAATGTACGGGAACACAGTGATGAAATAATTCATGTATCTGACCCTAAATTTTTGGAGCTTCTCCTAGATTTGAATGTAGAACTAACTTTCTAATGTATTTGCAGGTTGGGATTTCTTGTTGATTTTCTATCACATGCAGCCATTGTTGGATTCATGGGAGGTACAGCCATTGTAATAGGCCTCCAACAATTAATGGGATTGCTGGGAATTAGTAATTTTACAACCAAAACTGATGTGGTCTCTGTAACGGAAGCTGTTCTTAAAGCACTTCATCATTCTGTAAGCTATTTTCAAATGATATTTATGTTTTATTCGACCTGATTTTTCTTGCTTGACAAAATTTATGTGGTTTGCTTAGGTTAATTTCCTGCAGAACAAAATGTTAAACATTTATTTCTAAGTGTAACATAAAAACAAGAGAATCTATGAAAACAGATTGTTGTGAACTCTTGTTTGAGTTGGGTGCCAATATCTAAGAAACTTCAGCATATCTATTGAAGTGGACGGTAGATTATCAAACAATAGCGTGTGGTCAGGCTTAAGAAAAAGTAAAAGTTACTTCTAAGGTACAAACATGTTTATATCTGTTGGGTTAATTATGCCCAAAATCTTTGATACCAATGATTGGGAATTCAAGGATCGCGTATTGCTCGATAACACTTGATATAAAATCAACCACTGAATTGAGATGTAGTATTTATATGACAAAATATGAAGTATTTGATTACAAGCAAAAGAATAAAATAAGAAATGAAAATATGGTAGAAGAATTAGAAGATTTTATTGCACCACAAATAATGAAGATGAAGAACTATTACAATGATCCTATAAACTAGTAATCACTTTTCTCACTTTATAAAATTATATAGAAGAATCTAATATTTATAGAGAACATGTAGGGACGTCCAAATCCTAACAAATGAGTTGTGATTGAAATAGAATGTCAAAAATATGTTAAAACGCAAAAAAGGCCTGGGTCGGATAACCTTGTCGCTCGAGCGATAAGCTAGCGACAAGCTAGTGACGATCTGTCGCTCGAGAGCTAGACAAGCAACAGACGAGTGACCAACTCTTGGGAGAAAACGTATAGGTGTTGCTTGAGCGGTTAGCTAGCGAAAATGCAACGTTTTTTCTTTCTGGTTTACCTCTTCAAGTCCAATATAAATTTCAACCCCCAATAGGGCTTCCAAATAGAATTTCAACTTGAATAAGACTCTAATAGTATTTCAAATTGAATTCCTCTTAACGTGCACTTCAATTAAAATTTTTCAATTACTTCAATAAGGAATTCGGATCACAACTAAATTCTAACAATCTCCACTTTGACACGAATTTCATTGCAACGAACAAAACTCCAAAATTTTCTCCACATGGATAAGAAAATTCTTCTCCAAGGAATGAACTGACTTTTCAACAATAACCAAAACTAATTTTTCCAACCAAATACAAAATACTACTCATCTTCCGATGAATCCAAATACTACTATGTGGAATTATCTCAGATTCCCAACAAATTATAATGATTTTAAAATTCATAAAACTGGACTATAACACACCCCAAAACAGAATCAAACCCAAACGCTTTTAAAGAAAGCCCCTTTTTAGATTGTACACCTTCTACTATGATGAAAGTATGCTAAAAAAAATCAGCATTCACATACCTTTTTTCCACTGGATCCGTCATAGCAATAGAATATAATGGTACCGCATGTGATGGTGACAAAGCGGCATTATCCATATCTCCTGAACTCCACTGAGTTATATCCTTCAAATCTGACGATTTACGAGACTAACATTCAAAACTCCACTTCCACTAAAGAACTCGTAACCCTTTGAATCAAGGATAGACAATGAGATGAGATTCTTCTTCAAATTTGGGACATGTCGAACCTGGCCAAGTGTTCTAATTGTCCCATCCAGTAGCTTCAATCTGATAATGTGTGTTATTTTTCATAACCACGACACCTTTGAAAACGGTTCTATATGTACGAAACAAGTCCTTATTAGGATACATATGATATGTACATGCTGAATCTAGAATCCAATCCTCCTATGGTTTAAACTCAATATCAGAAACAGCCAAGAGATCTCACTTACTTACAATGTTCTCTGTGAAGTCTGCTTCACCTAAAGTCTCTGATTGCTTCCCATATCGACTTTCAGTTAACATTTCGTTATTCTGCAATTTGTAACAATCATTTTTCATGTGTCATTTCTTCTTGCAATAGTTACAAATTTGATTAATGAACTTAGACTTTGATCTGCCCCTTCCAGAACCACCATGAACAACCTGCCTTCACCATCTCGGCCTCAGATACTAGATTCATCTTCTCTTTTGAAAACTAATCATCATACACTTCCTCTATGGCGAGAGTATCACGACTATACAAGATCGTGTATCTAAATGAAGAAAATGAAGCATGCAACAAATACATTAGGATCAAGGCCAAATCTTCTTAATCATACCTTACTTCCAAAGTTCCAAATCAGAGACTATCTCCTTAAATACAGTCGGGTAACCTTCCAATAATTCTCTTTCTGCCATTCAATAAGAGTATAAACGCTGCTTGAGATGCAACTTGCTTGTCAGACTTTTAGTCATGCACAATTGCTCCAACTTCAACCATAAAGCAGCTGCTGAACCCTCCTTCAAAACATCCTGAAGAATGGTATTCGATAGTTGAAGATGAATTGTGAGAAACTGTCTTCTTATCCTTTCGTAATTTCTCCTCCGCAATCAAAGATGCGGTTATCTTGTTAATTTCCAACAATGCATCATCCAAATCCTATTGTGCGAGTACTGCAAGCATCTTAACCTGCCTAGAGAAAATTTATTCTTTCAATTCAAAAGTGAAATGTCATACTTCATGGAAGCTATCACAAATAAAAAACCCCGAACAAATCAAACATCGCGTTCTTGCGGAACTACTGAATCTAGGCTCTAATACCACTAGTTGTGTTAATTATGCCCAAAATCTCCGATACCAATTGTTGAGAATTCAAAGATCACGTATTGCTCGATACCACTTGATATGAAACCAACCACCGAATTGAGATGTTAAAATTATATAAGAAAATATGAAGTCTTTGCTCACAAGTAAAAGAATAAGAGAAGGCGAGAAAATATGGTAGATGGATTATGAGATTTTATACCACAAATAATGAAAATGAAGAAATATTATAATGATCCTAAAAGCTAGTAATCACTTTTCTCACTCTATAAAATTGTATAGAAGAGCATAATAGTTATATGAGCATATAAGAGACGTCCAAACCCTAATAAATGTGTTGTAGTTGAAGTAAAATGTCAAAAATGTGTTAAAACGCGAAAATGATATGGGCCAGATAACCTTGTCGCTCGAGCGATAAGCTAGCGACAGGCTAGTAACGGTCCGTCGCTCGAGCGCCAAGCGAAAAGCAGGTGAGCGACCAAATCTCGGGAGAAAACCTGCAAGTGTTGTTCGAGCGGCCAGCTAGCGGTAGACTAGCGAAAATGAGGGGACTTTTCTTTCCGATCCTCATCTTCAAGTCTAATACAAATTTCAACTCCCAATAGAGCTTCCAAATAGAATTTTAATTTGAACAAGATTTCAATAGCATTCTAAACTGAATTTCTCTTGACGTACACTTCAATTATAATTCTTCGATTACTTCAACAAGAAATTTGGATCATACCCAATTTTTAATAATATCCAAGAGCATGCATGTTTGGGAAATATTTGTGAATAATTTAATTAATTATAAATATGTAGAAACAAGTGGTGGATAAGAATTTATAAATCCCTAGAAATTTATTGATAAAAAGTAGGTTAAGTATTATTATTTTTTTAATCTATATTTTTTAGAACCTACTTATTTACTTATAAGTTAAACTATTAAGCTAAGCCAAATACACTCTTTTTACTATCCAGTTATATCCAAATCCAATACTGGGTATTAAATCTGCTCCTTCAGTATTTAACATTAGACTCAGAGAAAAATTAATCTTTCACATGACTTGTTGATTCATTTTGTAATCTTAAGATTTAATTTTGTGTATGTTTAATCATTCAAAAATTTTAACAGCTAACTTTTTTTCACTTGACAGTGGCATCCTTTGAATTTTGTGCTTGGCTGTTCATTCCTCATCTTCATCCTAATTACCAGATTTATCGTAAGTATACAGATTATTAAGAGGTTCATACTTGTACCCCGATTAAACAAGTCATCGATATTCATTTTGTCACAATTCTGTCACTTACTTTGTCTTGTTGTTTCAATTAAGACTCTCCGTCCCACTTGTTAGCATGACGAACGACAACAATAACATGGAATTTCGTGACTTGATTGAAACAAAAGTATAAAATTAAGCGACCCATTGACAAAATGAAGATTAATGACCACTTAACTCGAGAAATAAATTGAGCGGCCTCTAATTCCTTTATTGGATTAAAGTTTCACTTTTCTCTGTTTCATTCAACAATTAGTTGAGTATCTCTTTCACATTGCAGGGCACAAGGAACAAGAAACTTTTCTGGTTACCAGCCATGACTCCTCTTTTCTCAGTGATATTATCCACTTTAATAGTTTACTTGACAAAAGCTGATAAGCATGGCATCAAAATTGTAAAACATTTCAAAGGAGGCCTCAACCCAAGTTCAGTTCGTCAACTAAAATTTGGGGGTCCACATGTTGGAGAAGCAGCAAAAATTGGATCAATATGTGCCTTAATCGCTCTCACTGTTAGTATTTTTATACTTCTTGTCATCTCATGTCTCAGGAATTTCCTCTGAATAACTGATGTTTTCATTCCGAAGATACGCCACATTGCTTTTCACAAAGTGCACGATTGTAAGAAGTATTCAGAAAGAAGCTCCGGCTAACATCACTTCTAGGGGTTAAAATACTTTATCTGACTCACAAGTTGTGCCTTATTTTTTCTTTCTTTCTCATTTTATTGTCTCTTTATAAGGGCACATTGCGAAAGCACAAGTCGTCGAACAACACACATTTTGTTTACTTAAAAATAGTGCATCATTTTCTATGCTACACCATCATTTCCATTAGCCATGACAAAATTTGCGTTAATTCAGCAGAACTTAGTGCTTAAACTTAATAAAAAATGAAAGTTCAGTGATTAACTTGCAAGAGAAAAATGCAGGGTGACCAGACGATCACTATAAGCTGTGACTAACATTTCGATTAGCACAAACATAGCCATATATATCGCGTATCATCAAATCATTTGGAGGAACCTTTTTGTTGTCAGCGTGGAGCTTTAAACCAAAAAAAATACTAACAATGTTGATTACCTCAGGAAGCCATTGCAGTTGGGCGATCTTTCGCTTCCATTAAAGGGTACCACCTGGATGGGAACAAAGAAATGGTAGCCATGGGTTTCATGAACATTGTGGGATCTCTTGCTTCCTGTTATGTTGCAACTGGTAGGCCAATTTAAGTTAATGATAACTAATTATGGCTTGCTTGATAAGGTCGACTCAACAACTATTATTAAGGAAGAAGAAGAACCTGAACTTTTATGGTTTGAAGAACTACTGTCTGTCACCTAACTTACAGATTTGTTTCAGTTTGGCCATTGCCCATTTTTTCGTTTCAAACGAGTTACTATTCTTTCATATGTTATTTCATTTTAACTCTATTGATCTCTACCTGTTGAACAGCAAGTTTGACATTGTGCCACCAGTCTTGACATCACTAGACAATTTTCAAATAAAACACGTATTCCAGCCCATTTCAATTTAAAATTCAATGGAATGTAAACCACAATGTACACAAGAGAATGTATAGGTGATTTTATCCTAACAAAAATAATGTCGCAGCTAGCGTGAAATATGATGTGGAATGGAATATCCATTATATATGATGATATTTTTAGTCTAGCTGGGCAAAATAAGTTAAGATTATCCATTTCTTTTTCTTTATTTTCTTTTTTATTCTTTGGAAAAGCATTTTGAATTTCTGTTACTTCAACAGACGGAGTTCGTAAACTGAAAGTACAGTAGCTAATTTGGAAAGTAGAAGTTAGGTGACCGAAGTGAAACAACACTCTAAATTGAGTCATTAACAATGTTTGAATTTTAATCTGCTGAACTCTACAGTCTTGTTTCATAGGACATTCCTTTAAATCATAAACGGCAGTTAACAAAATTGTTCAGTAATTCTGAAGAACTGATTACATGCAGGTTCATTCTCAAGGACTGCAGTAAACTTTGGTGCAGGCTGTGAAACATTAGTGTCAAATATAGTTATGTCTATAACGGTGGTTGTGTCCCTGCTGTTATTCACCAGGCTCTTATATTACACTCCACTTGCCATTCTAGCATCAATCATATTATCTGCTTTTCCCGGATTGATTGATTTAAATGAAGCATATAATATATGGAAGACGGACAAACTTGATTTTATTGTTTGCCTTGGTGCCTTCTTTGGGGTCTTATTTGGCTCCGTTGAACTTGGACTTCTTATTGCGGTACGTAATTTAGTTATGCTCTCTCTCTCTCTCTCTGATACGATTACTACATAGTACATAACATGATTGATTAATATCATATAGTTTTGTTGAGTACACCGTCACCAATTGTGCCATCAGGGTATGGTGACAAAGTGTTCGTTCTGAAATGCTTTATGGAAAAATATCTCAAAATAATATGAACTTATTGAGAATTTTCACAATATAATGTGACTGGGATAATATGAGACCATCGAAGGTTCTAAAAATTTTAATTTCTAATATAACATTAGTAACTCCCTAATCCTTTTATTTCAAACTTGCTCATTAACATCTTTTTTATAGTTTTAATTATGGTATCATTGCTACATATGATTAGCATGTTATCCACATAAATAAACCATGATATATCCAATTTGAGTGCTCTCAACAAACCCCAATATAATTTTGAAATAATTTGACACTGTGTCTAATTATTAATGTCATTTTTAGAAGTTTGCTTTAACCCATAAAGTGATTTAAGAAGTCGACGCATTTTCATTTTTTTTTTCCTGATGTAACAAGTCCTAGGTATTACTTCATATAAATTTCTTCAACTAATTCACCATTCAATATTGTCATTTTTACATACATTTTATATATTTCTAAACCGTTTAATGTTGCTATTGCTATTAGATTCAAACTGAAGTTATTCACATAACTAGTAAATATGTACATTGGAAATTATTGATTTATGTACAATAAATTTGTATGCACTACTATGATAGGCATAACCAATGAATACACAATCAACTGTTTTCGGTCCTATCTTAACCTTTTTAGGTTTAGGAACCGCTACCTTAGCCAAACATCCTCATACCCTTAGATATTTATAGTTAGGAATAAATTTGTATGCACTACTATGATAGGCATAACCAATTAATACACAATCGATGATTTTTTTATTTTTTTTTATCATATCTTAACCATTTTAGGTTTAAGAACTACTAGCTTTGCCAAATATCCCCATACCTTTAAGTATTTGTAGTTAGTTTTATAACACTTTATACATATCTTGTTAGTTTTTCTATGAGACAATTTGTTAAAAATATAATTGATGCAAAACAAGGCTTCCCCCACAAGTTTGAGGTAATTCCAAACTCATCAGAATAACATTCATCATCTCTTTCAATGTTCGATTTTTTAATTTAACAATACCATTAGATTAAGAAGAATAAGGGTCGAATTACGTACTCCATGAATTGGCGACTTACCCATTCAGTGACTTTTGTTGGCACTCGACATTCCCAAAATGGATACTATNCATCTCCTTCAATGTTCGATTCTAGCGTTCAGCAATGCCATTAGATTGAGGAGAGTAAGGCGCTGTAGTTTGATGAATAATTCCTTGTTCCGAACAAATTTGTTCAAATGGAGAATCATATTCACAACATCTCTTACTTCTTACTGCTTTAATCTTTTTACTAAATTGATTCTCAACTTCTAATTTATAAGATTTAAGCACTTCAATTGTCTCGTCTTTGATTAATTTGAGTAAATAGACATTGCAATAGCAAATGCAATCATTGATAAAAGTAATAATACTATTTACTGTATATAGTTTGTTGAAATTTTAAATCATATATATCAATGTGAATTAAATCTAGTGGTTCAATACTTCTTTCGATAGAATGAAAAGGTAGTTTAGCATTTCGACTTTCGCACATATTTCATATTTATAGTTATGATCTATCACAATTTGATAATAAATCTAATTGAACTAATTTACGCAAAGTATTAAAACTAACATGTCCCACTTATTAAACTACTCAAGTAAGTAAGAAGATGATTTAATATTTTTTCATAATTGGAGGTACAACTATTTTTACATTCATTTGAGAAAGGCCCTTATTAAGATGTCCACCTTGTCACAATTATAATAGTTGCACTTAAACTTCCTATGAGCCTTTGATGAGCCATTTTGCCCTTCACCGTTGTGCTTTCTTTTTTATTAGTCTTGGAAATCCTTTCCACTATATTGACCTTGGGTTCCATCAAATAAAATGCACAAATCCTCTTTTCAGACTTACAATTATCTCTTTCTAATCTCAGTCGGAAAACAATTTTTTCAAGGTTCACTTCCTTACATTTATGTTTTAAGTAATTCTTGAGTCATTCCAAGATGGTAATTTTCAATAAGTGAATTAATTTGGAATGACCCACTGAGACACATACCTTCAACATGAATATCATGGAGAATCACTTGAAATTCTTGACTTGGGATATAACAGTTTTCCTTTCGACCATTTTAAAATCCAAAAATCGATCAATAATAAATTTCTTAGTGCCGACATCTTCAATCTTGTATTTTGCGTCCAAAGATTTCTATAGTTTTGAAAACAAATTTTTTGCATAAAAAATTCGCATTTTTCCATGCATTAACTGCAATTAATTTCTACCTAATGCTTTCACCCACCATATGAAGGAGCATCTCCTTTAAGAAATTTCTCTAAAGTTAATTTAGTCAAATAAAAAAATATTTTTTTTGTTGCCCACGCCTAAAATCTGACCCATTTGGACTTTTCTCTAGTCGGATTTGGGAGTAAACTATAAGATGTTGTCGTTTCCAATACAAAATTAGAAGCTAACAAATGATAATTAAAATAGATTTTGAAGGGCAAGGAATAAATCTGATAAACTAAAAAATTCATCTTAAGACTCTCGTTTCTAGAGTATTTATTTCTCTTTTTAATAATCTCAAGACATTTATTCAATTTGAAGAATAGAAATAGGAACGGTATAAACAAACATGATGAAAAATAGGAACATAAAGGATAATTCATGACCATCGAATTCATGATGTGTCCTTAAGATGTGTTTGATTCATTCTACGTTACTTTAATGTAGTCAGCAATCATCTTCTAGGATCAAACGAAATTTTGTCTCTTACGAAAATAACACAACAATCTGTATGAGTTTCAGCAAACTCAACTTTTGTGTTTGTACTCTAAAGTTAAGAGTAGAATTAATTTAAGAAAGAGGAAGTTTAAAGCAAAATTATGATTACATATAATGGTGTGATTTTCTGGTACAAAAGGCATGCAATATAGAGTATTTTTGGTCATTCGAACAACCTAAATGTCTTTTCATGAACAATGGTGACTATTCAGGCACAAAAAAATATGTATGTCTGGACAGAAAACAAATGTCGATTACTATGTTTGTTTGGACAGAAATAGACATTGGTTCGACCTAGAAAAAGTTTGCGAGAAAATCCAACTTTTCGAATTTTTTAAACCTTTAAATTATTTCCTCAAGTACCTAAAGAATTTGATTAATCACAATTTGGTCCAGAAAATTTATATAAAAATTTAACAAATCTTCACAAAAAAAAAAAAAATGCAAGACCTTGACTCAAAGCCAAACCTGACCACATCGTGTGTGCAGTCGAACACACAAGTATCCAAGTCCTCATCCATTTCACACAATTGGGTGGCCTTTAGGGCCTAAACCCAAATGCCAAACTCGAGTCTTATTAGCCATACTTGTTCCCACTAGTTTTCCCATGGGAGACAAAGTGTACTAATATAAATCAAATTCTCACTTATTGAAGCTTCAAATGAGTGATTTTGAATCCATATATTTTATTGAACGTATTGTGATTTTTGACAAGTAAATATATCATGTTATTCAATTTTGTAAAGTAGAAATGAACACACTTTTCCGTTAATTTGGGAGTGTAGGTCCTGCTTAATTTTGAGCTTGTGGTGTGACCCAAATTACTTGTAATTTCGTATTTGGTTGAAGAAAGGAAGTTTAAGGAGTTTCGATTTGTTAGTTCTAATTGTTAAAGATCAAATTTCATTAAGAATTGAGAGTAGGACTTGGAGATTAAGAAAAACACTTTGAAAGCATTTTTACCGAAGGTGGGCGCCACAGCGTCNTGAAGAAAGGAAGTTTAAGGAGTTTTGATTTGTTAGTTCTAATTGTTAAAGATCAAATTTCATTAAGAATTGAGAGTAGGACTTGGAGATTAAGAAAAACACTTTGAAAGCATTTTTACCGAAGGTGGGCGCCACAGCGTCCATGAAGAACAAGATGGATAGGGGTCCGGCACCGCAACATCCCTATTGAAGAACATGCCCCGGGCATCGAGGCTCCACCGTGGCATGCTGATTCCATTTTTTTCAGATTTTATGATTTCTTCTTCATCTAGAACTCGAAAAAAGGCTCCTATATATATTCCACATTGTTGTATCTCTATATACACACTCAACAACATTTTGAGAGCTAAAGAGTTTAGATTTCAATTAAAAGTATTGAAATCTAGATATTGTGAATACAATTACTATTGATTATAGTGAATTTCTCATTCTCTGTCTATTGTTTTTCCCATGTCGTTTTTTCATCTTGAGTTGCCACATATATCTTGGAGTTCTTATTCTTTTCTTATTTTTTTCATAATTGTCATTATCTTGCGATCAATTTACAAAAAACGGGCATCAGAATATGGTTGATTTTCTGTTTAGCATAGATGAAATATGATATTCAATTATTGGATCGAAACAGGAGATTTACTTTATGGCAAGTGAAGATACTAATGGTTCTCGTGTAGATAGATTTGGAGAAAGTCTTGCTTGGCTTTGATAAGATGTTTTCAACTTGGAAACATGATGAAAAATAGTATAGGGATCAGAAAGCGCAATCTCAAATTCATCTGCACCTTTCAAATCAAAATTTTTAGGATATTCTAAAGAGAAAAGTGTCGTTGCGTTGTGGTTAAAGTTGGACCAACTTTGTATAACAAAGAGCTTGACCAGCAAGCTACACTTGACACAGAGCTTGTATTCTCACCCAATATCTCAGAAGATATGTCATTGGATGATCACTTAACTATGTTTAAAGAAATCATGGCTAACTTGAAGACTTTGGAAGTTAAGTATGATGAAGACTTAACGTTGATGTTGTTGTGTTCATTGTCGCCATCACATGTGACTTTTTAGATAAACTATTTTCTATAGTCGGGATAACATCACTTTGGAAGTGGTATATAATGTTTTACTAACTAAGGAGAAGATGAGACATTTTGTTGGAGGATTTGGAATTCATGTTGAAGGCGTGGTTGTTCATGGGAGACATCAAGAAAGGAATCTTGGTACAAATATAAGGGGCAGATCGAAATCTAGACATGTAGAGAAAACATGTCATTTTTGTAAGAAGAATGGGCATATTAGAGCTGATTGCTATGCTTTAATAAACAAAAATAAGACTGCTGGTGCTATTGATAAAAAAAAGCAACATGTAAACACAGCGGAGACTAGTGTTGTGAAAGATAGACAAAGTGAATGAGAGCTTCTTGTAATTTCTGACATGGTTCTAAACCTTGTGAGGAATGAGCTCTTGACTCGATATGTACTTTCCATGTGTCTCAACAGGGGCCACTTGAATAAGTTTTTAGAGATGCAATGATTATGGAAAACAACGCGCCTTGTAAAATTGTCGGAGTTGGTACAATCACAATGTTTGATCGGGCTATTAGAACACTCACGATGTAAGGCACGTTCCAAAACTGAAGTGAAACCTCATATCTTTGAGTCCACCTAACTAAAGGATTATAGAAACACTTGTGAATGTAGAGTTTTAAAGGTGAGTCGAGATGCTCTTGTTGTCATGAAGGGACATAAAACCTCTACATTGTTGTACATTTTGTAAGGTTTAACTTTGTTATAGGGAATGCAGCAATTTCTAGTTCTTCTTTGACAAATGAGAAAATTACAAAAATTTGGCATATGCAGCTGGACATATGAGTGAGAATAGTACAATAGATTTGAGTATGGGAGACTTCTTGATAGGGAGAAGACCAGTAAGATGAAGTTTCGTGAGTATTGTGTTTTTGAAAAACAGAAAAAGGTCATATTCTCTAAAGGAAGACACAACATGAAAGGAACACTTGAGTATATTTATTCAAATCTTTGGAGATTGGCTAGGGTGTCTTCTAAAGGAGGTGCTCATTACTTGTTGACGTGATTGATGATTTTTCCTAGAAAATTTGGACATTCTTCTTGAAACAGAAGAGTGATATGTTTGATATCTTCAAGGAGTGAAAAGCAATAATAGAAAAATAGATTGAAAATTTGGTGAAGTGTCTACGCACATATAATAGTTTAGAGTTTTGTTCACATGAAATTAATAGTTTCTGTAGGGCTGAAGGCATCTTGAAACAATTGACAGTGTTTAGAACTTCTCAACAGAATAGTGTGGCAGAACGTATAAATACAACTTTTAAGAAAAATGTTTGTTGTATGTTTTCAAATTCTAGGTTGCCTCATACCTTTTAGGCTGAAGTTGCTACTACAACTTATTTTCTAATTTATCGCTCACCTTAGTTGCCATTGAGAAAAAGACACAATAAGAGGTACGGTCTAGTAAGCCTTCTTATTATTCTGATTTGAAGATTTTTTAGTGTCATGCTTATACTCATGTGGATAATGGAAACTTGAAGCCTAGGTTTAGAAAGTGTATTTTTCTTGTGTACAAATTGGGTATGAAGGGGTATAAATAGTTGTCCTAAGACAAAAAGGTAGTGGCTAGTAGAGATGTGGTATTTGATGAACTTGCTATGGTTTGGTTCACCTCATGGGAATTCTAATAAAGTTGAGGAACAGAATCTTTCAACTCAGGTAGAGCTGAAAACTAGTTCAGGAGAAAAATAAGAGGTTTTAGAACAATCTACTTTAGAGATAACAGATAGTAATACTTTGTCTACACCACCAACAAAACCAAAGTATTCAATTGCTAAGGATAGATGTCGCATACATATTAGACTTCCATAGAATTACAGATAAGCAGATTTGGTAGCTTATGCATTGAGTGTGGCTGACAGTATTGATTCCACTAGGGAGCCTGCTACATATTTAGAGGCAGTCAGTTGCCGTGATTCTAACAGATGGTTGATTGCTATGAAGGAGGAGCTGGAGTCATCGAATAAAAATAATACTGGGGATTTGGAGAAATTACTTAAGAATAAAAAAGTTGTTAGCTGCATGTGAGTATTTAAAAGGAAAGAAGGTATATCATGGATTGAACATGCAATGTATATAAGGCTAGATTGGTAGCAAAAGACTATAGTCAGATTCCAAGCATTGACTTCACAGATGTGTTCTCACCAATAGTTAAACATAGCTCAATTAGAGTTTTACTTTGAGTTATGTCTAAGAATGACTTGGACGTTGAGAAAATGGATGTCAAAACAGTATTCTTACATAGAGAAATACAAAAAAATGAGGGTCACATAGTTCCTAGAAAGGAAAACTATGTGTGCTTGTTAAATAGGTCTTTGTATGGACTGAAGAAGTCACCGAGATAGTGGTATAAACGATTCAATTCATTCATGACTACTCATATATCACTAGAAACAATTATGATAGTTGTGTGTACTTTAAAAATAAAGATGGTGAATCGATTACACATTCGTTGTTTTATGTTAATGATATGCTTATAGCAACAAAAGATAAATCAGAGGTCACTAAAGTGAAAGCTCAATTTTGTGAAGGGTTATAGATGAAAGACTTGGGTATAACGAAGAAGATTCTTGCTATCGAAATTTTAAGGGATGGGAAGGCTAGCAGATTATATTTAAGTCGGAGGAGGTACATTGAGAAAGTGCTTCAAAGGCTCAATATGCTAAATGCTAAGGCTATCGATATTCCCTTGGCTGCCCACTTTAAATTATCATGCTTGTATCCTCAATCTAATGAAGATATTGATTACATGTTTCAGAATTTTTATTCCAATGTAGTTGGTTCGCTTATATGCTATGGTATGTACAAGACTAGATTTGGCTAATACGGTCAATGCAGTTATTAAATACATGGTAAATCCTGATAAAAAAAATGTTGAAAAGCAGGGTAGTGGATATTCAGATACTTGAGGAGCTCTTCTAATGCTTATTTGCATTTTTGGTATAAATACAGATTGAATCATTGAATATGTAAATTCAAATTATACATGGGATCTTGATAAGAGAAGATCACTTACAGGGTATGTGTTTACCCTCGAAGGCTATGCTATGAGCTAGAAAGTTACTTGGCAGAATACAATAGCATTGTCCACAATAGAGGATGACTGGATAGCCATTATAGAGGCATGTAAGAAGGCTATGTAGTTGAGATGATTGATTGGTGAAATCAGTGAAGACTTGCAGTTTCTAAATTATATTGTGATAGTCAAAGTGTTATTTTCTTAACTAAGGATAACATGTTTCATGAGAGGACTAAACACACTGATATGAGGTATCATTTTGTGCGTTATGTGATTGCTCGTTGTGATATTGTAGAGAGTAAGGTTGATACGAAGGCTAAACCTACTAATATAATGACAAAACTACTTCTCATTGCTAAGTTTGAGCATTGCTTGAACTTAGTTGATGTTTGTCATTGATTTAGCCCATTGGGACTTGTTTGGTAAAGGTGGAGTGGTGTCTACTTGGAGATGTATTTGAATTCCTTGTGTTGAAATTTGGTTCAAGTTGGAGATTTGTTGTGGTGTGACCCAAATTCCATGTAATTTGATACTTGGTTAAGTAAAGGAAGTTTAAGGAGTTTTGGTTTGATAGTTCTAATCGATATATATCAAATTTCATTAAGAATTGAGAGTTTGGCTTGAAAAAGGACTTGGAGATGATCTTTTTGTGAAACTTTCGTATAATATAGAGCTCAAAGATGCTCAATTAAGAAACCATTTCAACTTTGTGAGCTATATCAACTCTTATAATTAATCCTTAAAGTTTCTTAATGAAATTTCAGATTTGTTAAATATTTGGCTTCAATACCAGACAAAATTATCATGTGCAGTTTTGGGATGTGATAATTAACAATGCTTGCTATGTCTTTCAAATTTGTTACAGTTGGCTATCTCATTTGCTAGGATAATAGTGGAATCCATTAAACCTAGTACACAAGTACTAGGAAGACTTCCAGGAACAGATATATTCTGCGACATCCTGCAATATCCTGTGGCCACTCAAATTCCAGGAATCTTAATTATAAGTATTAGTTCTGGAACACTTTGTTTTGCAAATGCTAGTTTCACCAGAGAAAGGTTTACTAAGAAGGAGCTCTTGTAAAATTATTTCAGTTCAAATTTTAATGGTATTAAAAATTTTAAGATAGGCAACTCATATTTCCATATCCTGATACAGAATCCTGAGGAGGGTCTTCGACGAAAATGAGGCTAAAGAAACTACAAAAGGAGGAATTCGGAAATTAATCCTCGACATGTCCAGTAAGTTTTGTTGGCCTATGAACTTTTATTATTCAGATCAATGGATTTTGGACTTGTTTGCTACATTCGTATCAAGAGAACTGAATATGATTAAGAGAGGAATTTCACATAATTTTTCAGGTGTCTACTTTGTGTCCTATTCTGTTTAGCATATCAAACATTTCATTTTTATTCTAAACCATATATGATTATGACAGATGTAATGAATATTGACACTTCTGGAATTCATTCCCTAGAAGAACTGCACAAGAAACTGATTTCAAGTGGCACAGAAGTGAGTCTATTTTACTTTAACGTCATCTAGTCCAATGAAAATGGTTATGATTTACTTGTTTACTGGTTTGCAGATGGCAGTGGCAAATCCAAGGTGGCAGGTGATAACCAAACTGAAAACAGCAAAATTTTTAGACAAAATTGAAGCAGGGCGGGTTTTTTTCAATATAACTGATGCAGTAGAATATTGTCTGCATATAAATGTTCTGGGTAACTACTAAGGGCTTTATTCAATTTTATAAAGGGATAAACCAATAATATACCGCATGTTCAGCATGGTTTTTATGCGGGACGAGACATGATTGGATATAATTAAGGAACATGGATCCCATGTCCAGCATTTAGGTTTAATCTTGTTGATTTTCTATTTGATGGTGGAAGAATGTAAAAGGAACGTTACGTGACAGGTATGTGTGCTAGTGCAAATTTTACTTTTTTGATTGTATGAGTTTTCTATAATAAATTAACTTTGTTGTGAAATAACTTGATTTTATTTTTTTATTTCTTAGTTTGTTTGAACTAGAACCGGTTATTTATCGAACCGAATACCAATCCAAAATCAAATAGTTAGTTACATTACTCGGGTTAATATATCAGGTACAAGATCAACCTTGTACTTTAATAACACCATCCCTCATTAACCTTGAACCTTATATACGCATGCTTATCGGGTAATAATAAACCACCATTGATTGACTCGGCTTTCCGTTTGAATTACTAGCATCCCACCAGTCTAGTCTAACCCTGACTTCTAATAGACTTCATATTGAGAGAACCCTGAACTTGGAACCCTCATTGCTCTTTTCTAGAAGCGGGAGTCTACCTTATTTTACTTTGCTTTTAATAATATGGTTGTGATTTGTCATTACACACGACTTTAATCAGGTCAAGTTAGAGATATAAATGAGTTCATTCTACTCTTCCCTCTCCAATATCCTCCGAAACCACTGTCCCAACAATTCCTAACAACTTAGTCCTTTAGATCCTTTGAAGGAAATGACAAATGGATGGTTCCCTTTCGAATTTCTATCTCATGAAATAGAAATTACGGCAAAAATAAAACATCAAAATGGAAGCCTTGCTAGGATCACAAAATCTATTGGAGATTGTAGAGAAGGGACACAATGAGCCAAGAAATGAGGCTACTCTATTAAGTACAAAGAGACATCTTGATGGATGAAAGGAAGAGAGAGAGAGTCAAGAAGATTAGTCTCCAAACTCATAAGATGCAAGTTTGAATATCTACAAATGAAATAATCTGAATCTATTTCTCACTGTTTTTCTACAGTATTAGCAGTAGCTAATCAATTAAAATAGATAGGTGAAAGTGTACATAATATTCTAGTACCAGACTTGGATATGGGGAAAGGTTCCAAAGGTATTGAGTTGGAAATCCAGATGAAATAAGATAGCTTGGTGCTAGGCTGTCCGCTCAAGCCGTGGATTGACAAATTATTTGTCGAGAATTGGCGCCCCAGCACTCCAGCGCCACAGTGCCGCGAGCTTGGCACTCCAGCTGCGTATTTATACAGCCTAGGCTTGTTTCGTGTTATGACATGTTTTCTCTACTCCAATTCTTCTACTACTCGATTTTTAGGGCTTATATATTGAGATATAATATTCATACAAGTGTTGAGAGCTTTAGATTTTAATTGAGAGTATTAGAATCTTGATTTATAAACACATTCTATAGTGAGATTCACTTCGTCTGTCGGTGGTTTTTTTTCCCGTCTTGAGTTTCCAAGTAAAATCTTGCTACTATCTTGCGATCAATTTGCGACACGACATATGGCTGAAGGGATTTACATGCTTTCTCAATTGACTCTATGGCTTCATTTCTTAAAAGGAATAAAAATAATCAACTGGATTTTTCCACCCACTCGTAAAATGAACTTTAATTTGACAATACTCCAAAGGAAATTTTGGTTCAATATGAATTGAAGGGCTAATGAGTAGGTTGCACGAGAATGTTCTAATTTTGATCTCTAACCATAATTTTGTTCCTATTAGTTTCCTATATATATATATATATACTCTCTTAAAAGAGAGGGTTTGA